CGCTGTGAATACTGAAAATCAAATCTTCTCTTAGGAATTCATTTCCTTTAAACGCTGTACAAAATTTTGTCAAAAATCCTTTGTGACTGCAAGCCAGAAAAAAATCAACTGAGCCTTCAAACACAAAAATAGAAACTTTCAAAAACAAAACGTACAGAGGAATACACATTATTAGTCATCGCTTTCTCTTTTAACAGAAGGAGCAAAAGGATGTGGTGGATGCTGCATCCCTCCTTCTCCCCCCCCCCCCCCACAAAAAAAAAAACCATAAATGAAATAAAGCAAAAGAAAATATTGAAAGTAAAACTTCAAGCATCTCATTAATAGTTAAAAACGTAAAGACTTAAGTGATTTGTCTAATAATTCAACAAACACATTCATGTAACAAAAAGAATAATAAAAGCTCGCACACTATATTATAATCATATGAAAATCTTTCAGGAACAAATTTTGCATGATCCCAATTGAAAAATGTCACTGCATTAATAAAATTCATAACGTAACAACATTTTCTGTTGCGATGTTTTTTTTTAGTGCCTCCATTTAATTATATTGTTTTTTCAAAGTTGAAGGCAGGGATGAAAGATATCAAACTCACCTTTTTCCATCAGGATGTGTAATAATAATGTCCATATCTCCACATGTAGCTTTTCCACGTCTATATGATCCACCACAAACAATCTCAGCCTAATCGACATGACAGGGGCATAACCAAGATTTTAATTCACACATTGCTCAAAAAACCACAGCACCAACAAAAGTTGAAATTGTGAATAACATCATGAACTGAAATTAAAACAGCAGAAGATACTTTTAAAAAAAATTCATCCTAAACCTACAAGTTATAACTGCATTACGTGATTTGAATTACAATAGGTCACAGATCATGATTACAACAAAATTACGACAGTAGTCTAAGCCTAAAGCACCATCCTTGAAAAAGAGATACAAGGTAAGAAAATGGCACCAAAAATCGCATACCCAAATGATAGTCTGATGAAGAAACATAAAGTAGAAAAGAGTAAAGGGGGAGAGAGAGAATAAGAGAAAGGAATGAAGAATTCTATTATCAACAATCAAGATACCCCATTACACCCTTGCTCAACCCTTTACACAACTACAAGCCGGAGCTAGTTAACATAGTCCAAGTATAGAAACCCTTCGTTTTCATACATGTCAAACAATTCCAGGAAATAATTGAGAAATCATGAACATGAAATCTGCCTCTCCCCTGCCTGTTGACTATTCTGTTACATAAAAAGTTTCTTCTTCCAATGCAATCTTTTGATCATTAAGAGAAACGTTAATTCAATCAACGTACCCTTCATCAAATTGCAGCATTGGCACTACATCAAAAGCAGTCTCGTATCATCAGTTGATGCTATACATGGTAGATGTTTTTAATATATTCTAACTAATATTGAACCCATATCACACGTATTGCATCAATATATTTCCCTATTCATTCCTTTTAACTAACAAATAGATTGCTAATCCCTTGACAGTCTTCATAACAATACTACCTACTTAAAGAAATTATCTTTGTCCTTAAGGATCTAGACAAATCAAATCTTCAAGACAGAATTCTAAAGGCAACAAAAATCGAATCCTCTGATGCGACTAATACATCGGACATCAAATTCACAAACTTATATCCCACAGTCCTAATTTCTCAGTTTGCTAGACGTCCTTGTGTTGGGCCTTTTAATTCCTTCCAAGGCCCACCTTATTGCTGGACAAGGCTCTTAGATGCTTCTAGGTTGGTGGAGAAGCAACACTATTCATCGATTAGACCAACACATGACAAACTAGCCAATGCTTTTGACTAGAAAAATCTTTTTGCTTTGTCTGTGTACAAGCCTGCAATCCTTTCCAGCTTGGCCCTCTTTTCTCAAGAGTCTCAAGGGGTTTGCTTGAAGTCTGAATTGATGTCGTGTGGCTCAAACAAGCAAAGCATCCTAGAATGCTCATGCATGATTTAATCAGAGATTTAAACTGGGGTGGTTGTTGAGTTTCTTGGCCCAGGTTTATGGGAACATTGAAGCATGAATATGTTATCATAATCCTAGTTCTAACATTAATTTAAGATTCCAAATCCACTGAATCAACAAATCAACAACTTATCAAAGATCATCTTAAGCTTCGCAAAAATATTCCCAGCAATCATGATGATGAGCCATAAACTAAACTTCAACGGAAAATCTGTCTTTACTCAAAGAAGATGCTCAACTGCCAATGAAAGATGGAGGAAGTGAAACAAGAGGAGACAAAGGATGAAGGCTGATGAAGAGCGATGATGGTCTAACTGTTGTGACTTGATGGAACCCCGGCCATAGAGAATGGAGAAAGTTTTAGAGGCTTTTCCTCATGGTTTGCTTGGGAGGTCACGTCTTGGCCAATGGAATGTCCAATCTTGTCAATTTTTACTGCTCTCATTTTTTCCACCTCTTCCTCGGATTTTCCTTCTTCCTCTTTTTTATTGCTAGATTCACATTTTCCTTTTTGCTTCTTCTTGCCTTGGCTTCTATCTTGCCTAGTTAGTAAATCCAAATGAGGCTTCACAGTCCAAGATTCTCACTTGACACTGCTTCAATCTTGCCTACAAAAACGTCTGTGGTTACTTCATAGCCGCATCCACCATGAAAGCTTGATTCTTGTCAAGACCTCTTCAAATCATCAATCCCCAACACATTCTGCTCTAGACAAGCATAATTACTCTTGAACATTGTCACATGAAGCTCCAGCCTCTATCCAAGATCTCCAAGCTGTTTGTGTAATCAAGTATCTGTTCTGCTCTAGAAAAGCATTATTACTCTCAATCATTGTCACATGAAGCTTCAGACTTTATTCAAGATCTCCAAGCTGTTTGCGCAACCGAGTCTCCATCACTACTATTTGGATAACATTTTTGACCAAATGGCTAAAAAATCAGCTCTAATACCACTTGACATGTGGTGGACATTTTTACTGGATTCAGACTAATACTGAAATCATATCAAACCTATTACATCAATATATTTCCCTATTTATAGAGGATTCCCTTCTTACTAACTAACAAATTATTAATGCCCTGACCTTCTTTGCTCTTGCAACATAAATATGCATAAACAGACAATAAATCCATGCAGTGTCTATAGAAAATAAACTAACGATTTTACAGGCTCTGAAAGATCAAACATTTAAAAAAACTCATGCATTCCAACCCAACTAGGGTAGTGCTCACCCCAGGCAATATATCCTCACCAACTTTCTGCAATAAGTTCTCCATCTCTTGTACCTATCAAATCAGAAAGGGTGTTAAAAGTTTTGGAGTAAAAGAAAACAAGTTCTTTGCAATGAATATCTTGCAAAAAGTATTACCAGACCTCATTGCGTGGAATCCTTTGCCTAATATCATCAAAGTATTTCAACCCTAACTTTTGTGCATTTGTTAGCGAATCATCATTCCTCAGATCATCTAATGTACGGTGTCCTTTCTCATACAATTTTAGTGCTGTGGCTGGACCTATACCCCACACTTCTCCAAATAAGGATATTGTTCGCACCTATAGTGAAGGGACAAACGAGTGGGCAGTAAAATCACAAATATAGCCCGAGTGAAGCAAAGCACTACAGTAGAAAATGTGCTATATATAGAACAAATATAGCTATTTTTTATTATATATATTTCATATCTTATATAGTATTTTTAATTAAAATTTATTTTTAAATAGTTTAATTTTCCAATGCATATATACGATTATCTATTTTATATGATGTATAATGTTTTAAAGTAAATTTCCTATTTAAATTTCAATATTTGCATAACTTATATATTATATTATTTGTTTACAAGGGAAACTAAAAAAGTTAAATCATGAAGAAAAGTTCTCAAAGGTCGCAAAGTGAGACATGTTAAAACTTGTAATACCTTCTCATCAGTTTCAAAGTGCTCCAACTTGGATAACTTGCCAGTGGTTATTATCTCCTGTATCTGGACACAGTAAAATCGATTGCTTCATTTGTTATAGGACCAAATGAGAAAGAGAAGTCTTAAATGCAAGTAGGAAGATGCACAAATGTCCAAGGAATTCAATATTCTGGTTGTTGTACGGTCAACAGAGTTCTATTGCCTTCAGAATGCAAAAAATCAATTCATCAGCTACAAAGCATCATATGATTACTACAACCAAGTCAAATTTAAGAGAAGACGATCTCATAGGACAGAAACAAGATGAAGCTAATAGTAGGTGGCAATTATTATTAATATATTAAAACTAATTCTATATTGAGCTCAAGGTTACAGTAAATGAATCCGTATGTAAAACAGCCTAAGATAGCAGTTTCTATAGCTCACTCACATGATCTTTCATTGATTTTCCAATTGATGGCAGGTTTTTGACCTGGTCCACGCTTTCAATCTTAAATGGCAACTTCTCAATCACCGCAATAGCTTTGTAATAGCTAAAGGACCTCCGATCATCACCCAAAGCTTTGAAACAGCATTAGCACAATAAACAAGTGCCCAAGAAAAATATAAAATAACGGGAGAATAATCTGAAGGAGTTATTTGGGGCTTACCTCTATATATGTTCACAAGTTTCCCAAATATCTCCGTTATGTTCTTGTTTAGATCAGGTGGACAGTAAGTTAAGGATGGCTGTAATGTTAGGCCCTCATTAGAATAGTTTCCAAAAAGAGCAATGCAAAAAGCTTAGATGCCATATTTGAATTATGTGACCTTTTCGGATTATTGGTTCTTATTAATAGCAAAATCTACAATTTTAGTAGTTTTTAAAAATCACACATGCTTTTGGAGAATGCTTTTCAATCAACTCAAAGTTTTGGAGCGGTCTTTGACAATTGACATGGCACGTTATGAATTTACTTGGTAAAGCTTATACTTCCAAACTAAGCCCAAAAAATTTAGGGAAGAACATAAGAGTATATAATATACTTGAATTGTAAGCTTCTAGGTCTTACTGCCTCATTTTCAGCATTTGGGCTTTGAGGTCTTGTACTTGCATAATGTAAACAGCCAACTGAATCATCATGACTGCTTGCTGTACTTGGTGATGAATATACTTCATTTTCTCTTCTATCTTCAGTAGCGTCAACATTTACAATTTCAATATCCTCGGAAGAGGATTTCATCCTTTTGTTGGGTAATCCTTTATTGTCACTGGAACTGCTTCCATTAGCTGGTTCAGGACCCAAAGTCTCATCGGGTACATTTTCTTCATCCGGGACCACCTTCAGTATGTACATATCCTCAGATAGCTTCTCCCCCGACTTCAAGCTGTCTTCCAACCATTGATAAAGGAGAACTCTCTACAGCAATGATCATTAAAGCACTTTCCGAGAATAAATATGCAAACCCACATAATGAGGTTTGAAGATGGAAAGCACGTTCACCAAAGGACTAGATTTAGAATAGTTACTAATAAAATTTCCCTATAGGAATATTAAGCGTACAAGGTTTTTTCGAAAACCAATAAGGTAATATGTTCTTTTCTTTCATACACTTGTTTGCAAAAATAAAAGAATCATGCTTTTATAGAAATATTAACAGCAAAGAAATAAAATCTGTCGTTTAAGTTTTTCTTTCCCAAATAGCAACTTTCAGTTGCCACAAGATACACTAAAGAAGCAACTCACACTTCTGTTTAGATAATATAACAATTTATTCATGCAGAAGAACTGAAGTAAGTTCGTCAATAAGCAACCCCAGCATGTTCGAAAATTAAGATTATAAAAAATATACTTAATTGAAGCAAAAGCAGGAAAAAATTGGCTGACCCCTTTAAAACGTGACAAATGCTCACTATCCAATTGCCGGAGAAGGGAATCAGAGTCCATAGCCAAAATGTGAGTAACCCTTTTGGACAAACGCTCTTCTATGACAGCCCCCATTTGCGCTAATTTCTGCTTCCAAATCTTCAAAAACCAAAGTACGGAAGGGAAATGAAAGTAAATTACCAAAAACGAAGAAGCATGGAACAAACATAAGTGTGGGTAAGAGCAAAAGAAAAACACACACACACAAGTACAGATTGACAAGCTTAAGTGTATGCAGTGAAACCTGCAGTCGACGAGCTTGAACTCCTTTTTCGACTAAGAAAACGACCATTCCCGAGAATATGCCATGTGGATGAGATGAACTTGAATTCTTTATTGCTTTAGACTTTGGCGCCATTGTGGCGGGTTCGTTTCTTCAGAAAGAGGTTCGTGGGTCGTCTATTGGCGGGTTCGTTTCTTCAGAAAAAGGGAGTTCGAGGGTCGTCTACAGAGCACATTACATAATGCCAGAGGGGTCAGGTAAAAGTGTAGCCGGTAATCAAATAAGCAGGTAGTCAACAGTAGGCCTAGGGAAAGGGGGAAACCTTGTGCGTGTGTCGCGTCATATGTTTGTGAGGACAAAGCCGAGTGCTATTTACGTTGGAATTTCGTGCTCAAAAATTCCTAATGGGCTCCCTTTGGATAGGAAGAAAAGCAGGGTAAAACGAAAATGAGAGGAAACTGAAAGGAAAAATGTTGTTATCATTTTTTTGGGGTGAATAAGAGAAAACAAAAGATGAAGAAAATAAGCAAATGGTAAACTTAACATATTGATTAATATCTTGAGTAAAGAATCAGACCAATCTAAGCATTGTATGGCGGGGTGATTTGGACTAAAATTGTCATTATATAGTTGAGTGACCGAATTCAATTCACAATATAAGTCATTTTGACTAATTTATTAACATCAAAAAATCTCAGTTAACTCATTAAATATATTTTAAATTAAATTTTTTTTAACTTTACACATATACTCATTGAAGTTGTGAGGGAAAGAAAGAACATAGAGAATTACGTTTAAACATTTATTAGGGGGAAGACTTAATGGATGTAGTGGAGCCGAGGCCATCACGCAGCGCAATGACATATTTTGTCCTCTTCCACCGAGCAACATACTGTTCTGGTCTTACTTTTATATTTAGGATAGAATAAAAAAAAATTTAGCCTTCTTTGTAGTAATTTTTTATATGGATGTACAATTTCACTCTTTATTTATTATTGTGTCAACTTTATTTACACAAGGTACAATATATATTAAATAGAGATAAAATTAAAAAATTATTAAATTTTTAATGAGAGTTAATAAAATTTAAGATTTCTTTTAATTTGTATAAAATATGTTGAAAATAACTTATAAATCGGACTAAATAAAAACCCTTATATGAGAGCCACTTTGGAGCGATTTTTTGATGCAACTTGGGGAGAGGGCCCCCTTATTTTATACACATATATGTTTGTGTGCGTGTGTATTTTTTGGTGAACAAAACTCTTGATATATATTGATATAATGTTATTTCGTTGGTAACTCCTTTTTCGACTAAGAAAACGACCACTCCCGAGAATATGCCATGTGGATGAGATGAGATTGAATTCTTTATTGCTTTAGCCTTTGGCGCCATTGTGACGGGTTCGCTTCTTCAGAAAGAGGTTCGTGGGTCGTCTATTGGCGCGTTCGTTTCTTCAGAAAAAGGGGGTTCGAGGGTCATAAGGCCAAAAGGAGAGAGGTGGTAATACGAGCTGACGGTGCGGATACGGACCAAAAGCGGTACGGGCTGGCAAAAGCCCACCTCCATATTCTTTTTTTTAAAATCAAAACTATTATTATTAATATAGGTTGAATTTAATTTAAAATGTTAAAATTAGGTTTCGAATATTGAATTTGAATAGTGAGTTATAATAAAATAAAATGAAGATTAATTTATAATTTAAGAATATATTTTTAAAAAACTAATATATTTTTTATAAATAGTTAATTTAACTAGTTTTTTTATTCAAAGTAATTTAGTTTTCCTATTCAAATTAATTAAGTAGATATTTTATGTATAAATGTATAAGTATCACATGTTTATTTAATTTTATAAAGTCTTTTATAGTGACACAACAAATAAATGAAAAATAAAAGATGGACAATGATCTTCGTATAACTACACACAGAATCACAAATATATAAAGTGTTTAATTACTTATGCAATGATATGAAAAAAACAATGTTTAATTGTTCATGTGGAATTTAATAATCAAAATATTTTAATTATATTACAAATTATATGGAAAAAAAAAAGAAGAAGATGGGCTAGCTCGTCAACCCGTGAGCTAGCCCGCGACGGAACAGGCTCAAAATAGTACGGGCTGGAATAGCCCACACCTTGACGGGTGGACATATTGTCAACCCAAACCTGTCTTTTTTGACGGATTGGATCCACGGACCCGGCCCGTATTACCAGCTCTACAGAGGGGTCAGGTAAAAGCGTAGCCGGTAATCAAATGAGCAGGTAGTCAACATTAGGCCTAGGGAAACCTTGTGCGTGCGTCGCCTCATATGTTTGTGAGGACAAGGCCGAGTGCTATTTACGTTGGAATTTCGTGCCCAAAAATTCCTAACAGGCTCCCTTTGGATAGGAAGAAAAGCAGGGCAAAACGGAAATGAGAGGAAACTGAAAGGAAAAATGTTACTTCCTCCGTTCTTTATTATAAAAGACATTTGATCATTATGGTATGTTCCCATATATAAGAGACACTTAAAATTTATCTCTATTTTTTTGTATTGATTTCTTATTTTACCCCTATTTATTTTGCCTCCAACTCATATTCTCTCATCTTCCCACTTCTCTTTTTTTTAATAATTTAATTGCTCTCTCTCATAATCTCTCTCCTTATTAATGGGGTATTGTTAGAAAAAAACATTATACTTTTTACACATTAACTGTCCTTAACTAATTTTAATTGTTTTTTTATCAACGTAATTTGGTTATTTGTCTCTTATAATAAGAAACGGAAGAGTATCATCAGTTTTTTGGGATGAATAAGAGAAAACAAAAGGTGAAGAAAATAAGCAAATGGTAAACTTAACATATTGATTAATTTCTTGATTTAAGAGTCAGACCAATCTAACCATTGTACGGCGGGTTGATTTGGACTAAAATTGTTTTTATATAGCTGAGTGACCGAATTCAATTCACAATATAAGTCATTTTGACTAATTTATTAACATCAAAAAATCTCAGTTAACTCATTAAATACATTTTAAATTGAATTTTTTTTTAAACTTTACACATATATATTAAAGTTGTGAGGGAAAGAAAGAACATCGAGAATTGCGTTTAAACATTTATTAGCGGGAAGACTGAATGGAATGTAGTGGAGCCGAGGCAATTACGCCGCCCAATGGCATTTTGTCCTCTTCGACCGAGCAACATACTGCTCTTGTTTTCTTTTCAGAACAGAGAGAAAAAAAATTTTTAATCTTATAATAAGTTATTGAGAATTTTTTATATAGATATATAATTTTATTATTTATTTATTATTATGTCGACTTTATATACACAAGATAAAATATATATTAAATAGAAATAAAATTAAAAAATTATTAGATTTTAAATAAAATTTTTTTTGAATTTCAAATAAAAATTAATAAAATTTAAGATTTTCTCAGTTTATATAAAATATGTTAAAAATAACTTATAAATTAAACTAAATAAAAATCTCTTATGAAGAGTAATGACTCTAGAGTCACTTTGGAGCGACTTTTTTGATGCAACCTGGGGGGAGGGCCCCTTATTTTATACATGTGTGTGCGTGTGTATTTTTTGGTGAAAAAAACTCGATATATATTGATGTAGTGTTATTTCCTTGGTAACTGCGCATTATGTTCACAAACTCATTGCGGATTTATTTTTAATATATATAATCTGCGTACAATTATTTTTGTTAAATCTTTTTAAATTATTGTGCCACTGGTCTAACCAGTTAGACTATAAGAATTATATAACAGTTAGCTGTTTTGGTTTGACATTCGATATGAGTTGTTATAATATAAATTTTTAATATTACTTCCAACATTTAACATAAGAGCTAATTAGAATATTTAATTTGGTTTTAAATATCAAAAATCAACCAATTTTATAAGAGATTCTCATCAGGATGTGATTCTAATATACATGATTTCCAAACTTGAGTTAGTAGTTGAGTTGAGTCAAACCATCCAATCTGATTCTTTAATCACTTATATTTAACCTATATACTGAAAATCAACCCAGGCTGATCCAATACGCGCACATATAGATAAGAAATATAATCAACCTTGTTATTCAGAAACTAGAGATAGAGAAGAAAGAAGATATTACAAAGCATGCATGGAAGCGCAGAGAGAGAGAGAGAGAAGAAGAAGAAGAAGAATGATATATATATATATATATATATATATATAAAATATTAAGGGCACTTGGGCTTGTTGCCGTGAGTGAGCATATCAGTGTAACATCTGCCGCACATCTCTCTGTGGCCATAAGTGCCCGGAGGAACACACTTGCATCTGGCACAACACGTCCCACACGCTCTCAGACATACCTTTGGCCTCGAATGCATCTTACATCTCTCCCCGCACCGTACTCCACAATCTGCATCAATACCATTGTTCTTCATCATCATCAACCATATACCTATACATATATAGAAGGAGAAGAAGAAGAAGCCATACTTATATATGGAAGAAGCCTTCTGTTGGGTCCTTTCACCACCTGCACCATTCAAGGCCATTAATTAATAAGGAAACATGTATACACATATATAGACACAGACAGATCTATGGAGAGAGAGAGAGAGAGAGAGAGAGAGAGAGAGAAGCATCATCAAAACCAGAGAGTTATGATGAGAGGGTTGGTGGTGTTCTTCGTTATTGATCTTGACGACATCATCATCAGATGAAACCTGCAAATCGATTAAACCAGAAGAAGAAGTGAAGAATACTTCAAAGGTTGATTTAGCAGTAGTATTTGGCTAAGGGGATAATGGCATAATGCATTCTCTATTACCTCAACTGCAAAACAAAAGAGCAATAGGAAAGTCATCAGAAGAACAAATCTTGAATAAGCCATCTCTCCTACTTCTACAACACTGTGTGCCACACTGCCACGGTTTTGTCTGTGTATATATAGCTGGTTGTCTTACTGTGCAATCTTATAGCTTTGAATTCATCCTTCAAAGATTTACATTTTTATTAAAATATAACAACTAGCATTTTAAACGGAAAGAAACTAATCAAAATATATAATTTCAAAATTATAGAGAAAAAAATTGTTCAAACTATAATAGCAAATCATTATATTGTTAATTAAATTCTTATTACATATTACTCCCGGTTTTAATTATAAAATTTTATTTATAGACTATAAATAAGGTCTTATAATTAGAAGCAGTAGTGTTATGATTAG